ATGCAGACAGAAACTAAACAGAAAAATACTTAAGCTAACAGATATTAGAAATCAATTGGGTCTAACAAACATGTATAAAACATTTCACCCAAACACAAATGATATACCTTCTACTCTACACCTCTTGGAACATCTCCAAAATTGCCCATACACACAAAGCATGTCTCAATAATACAAAAAAGAAAATTGCAATAACCCCCAGAATCCTATCAGATCACCATGGATTAAAACTGGGTACCAACAACAACAGAAAGCGTACAAACTCATAGAAATTGAATAACTCTCTGCTGAATGGAATATTGACTAAGAGAGAAAGAAAGAAAGAAATTAAAGACTAGAATCCAATGATGATAGCTACACAGCATACTCAAACTTATGGGACACAGCGAAAGTGATTATAAGAGGCAAGTTCAGAGCACTAATTGCCTACATAAAAAACTGGAGAGATTTCGAATTTGCAACTTAAGAGCATATGTGAAAGCTACAGAAAAAGTGAAGTATTCGTACCCAGTAGGGGTAGACTGTAAGAAATAATCAAACCAAGGGCTCAAATCTACAAAATAGAAACAAAGAGAACAATACAAAGAATCAATGAAACAAAAATTTGGTTCTTTGAGAAAATCAACAACATCGATAAACCCTTATCCAAACTAACTGAAAGGAAGAGAGAGAGGGGTTTCCAAATTAAGAAAATCAGAAAAAAAAAGAGGGACAGCCACTAAGGAGTCAAGCAAAACATAAGGGCATACTTTCAAAACCTGTGCTTCACCAAACTGGAAAACAGAAAGAAATGGAGAATGTTCTCAATAGGTACTACTTACCACAGTTAATCAAGATCAGATAATCAATATAAATAGACTTATAAATCTCAGGGAAATAGAAGCATTGAAAGTCTCCCTAACAAGAAAAACCCAGGGCCATATGTTTTGGTGCTGAATTCTACCATACATTCAAAGAAGAAACCATCTTCAACAAATGGTGCTGATCAAACTGGATGTTTACTTGTAGAAGAATACATGTTTATCACCATGCACAAAACCTATGTCTAAGTGGATCAACAACTTCAACATAAATCCAGACATGTTGAATCAGATAGAAGAAAAATTGGAGAATAACACATGGAATGTGTTGGCATAGGAGACAACTTTATACCCATAATGCAGGCAATTAAGATCACCAATCAATAAATGGGACCTCATGAAACTGAAAAGCTTCTGTAAGGCAAAGAACTTCACTATTGTACAAAGAGGCAGCTTACAAAATGGGAAAAGATTTTTATGAACTCCACATCCAATAGAGGTTTAATACCCAAATATATAAAGAAATAAGAAATTGGATATTTTAAAATAGATAATCCAATTAAAAATGGGGCAGAGACCTCATTCATAATTTATAGTTGCCAGAAACTAGAAATAACCTAGATGCCCATCAACAGAAGAATGAATAAAGATAACATGTTACATTTACACAGTGGAGTATTACACAGATAGTGAAAAGATGACATCATGAAATTTCATGAAAATAGATAGAACTAAACAACATTATCAAAAGTTAGGCAACACAGACCCAGAAATGTCAATATGGTATACATTTAATTATGTGAGGATATTAGCCATTAGATAAATGATGACCAGCCTACAATCCAGCCTACCCAGAGAATGTAGGTACAGAGGAAGTGACTAAGGTATGACACATGTATCACCTTGGGAAGGGAAAATAGAATATATCTTATGATTGGATTGGGGCTGGAAGTGGGAGATATGAAAGTTATTTTAATGAGGTTTCCTAGAAATGGGAAAGACAAAGTCTCAAATGGCCATATTTTGTCACCAAACAAGACTTCTAGTACTGGGACTTGCTTACATTCAGTTGAGTCCTTGGTTAACACGGTCCCATAGAAATTCCCAAACGAACTAACAGGCTATTGTTAAGACAATGGCTTGCTCTTCAAAAAGCAAAGTCCTATTGCCAAGGCCAATACCCACACAACTCTGAATGTGGAGATATTGACCAGTGCCTAAATGGAGTCCTTACCTCTAAATTCTAATGTCTTTGATATACCCATCCACAAAACCTTTGGCCTACAGTCTGCCTTACCTGTAATATGTGTCAGCGCAATGACAGCATACAACTTGTGGGGAGTAGCAAAGTAATAACTTATTTGACATAAGGCCCACTCCATAAAACTAAACTCATACCCAATACTGCTTTGGTGACCAAGAACAAAAGACTAAATAGTTTAGAGAATTAGGGTAAAATCAAATACTACTGATCTAACAATGACAACAACAACAGCAACAACAACGAAAGGTATCAATAAAATGATTCTCAAAGGTATTCTGTTATACTGATAGATCAGTACCTTATTCAGCCATCATCAGAGAAGCTTCTTCCTGCAGCAGATAGGAGCAGATACAGAGACCTACAGGCAGATATATATATATATATATATATATATATATATATATATATAGAGAGAGAGAGAGAGAGAGAGAGAGAGAAAGAGAGGAGGGAGAGAGTCCCTTAAACACACAGCTCTACATGGGATGCTTCAACTGAACTAATTTCCTCCGAGCTCAAGGAATCCCTCAGAACAGGAGGCAGAAATGCTGTAAAAGCCAGAGGGGATGGATGACACTAGGAGAACAAAGCCCTCTAAATTAACATAAGCAAAGCTCATATGACATCTCAGAGACTGGAAAAGCAAGCGTAAGGCTTACATGGGTCTGCACCAGGTCCACTGGGCATATATTATAATGTTCATCTTAGTATTTTATGGAAGTCCTGACAGAACGTGACCCAGTGGGTCTCTGATTTTTGTGCTTGCTCTTGGGAGTCTTGTCTTTTTGTTGATTTGACTTATTCAGCTTCCGTGTGATGATTTTGCTTTATTTTCTATCTTATTCTGTCATTTTTTTTGTTGGAAAGAAAGAAAGAGAAAAAAGAAAGGAAGAAAGATAGATGGAAAGGAAGGGAGAAAGGAAGGAAATGACTAGTGTGAAAACTAAATGATGGGCAAAAGAGATTATTAAATAGTCATGAATAGAGTTTAAGCATTGGTTTTGTAAATATCTGATTAAAATTAAGAAAGAAGAATATACAGAAATGGAAAAGATACACTATTTAAAGGCTGGTAGCTTTCTGAAGTGATGAAGACATCAGTTCTCAGATTCAATAGTCTCAATAGATTCAACAAAAATCAAGTAAATTCAAATGATAAATCTTGTAGTTAAACTAAAGAACACATTCACACAGAAATGTAAAGAAAAAAAAAACAAGAAAGAAAAGCAGTTTCACTCACAAAAGTTGATCATTGATCAAGGGCTCTCTCGGGTCAACAGAAATCAGAAGGTGCAAATCTAACTGGAATTGGATCCAAAAGACTCTCCCAAATGACAGTGAGGAAAAACAGTTTTAATGACAAAGAAGATAAAAATGAAAACAGGAACATATGTAAGGAAAGTGTAAAAATAGTAAATCTGAGTGCAAATGTAGTATACAATAAAGGAAAACTCATACAACAGTGCCTTCATATATACATAAACATATGTATAATATATACGCATATAAAATGATTTTTTAAAAGGCTTGACCATTGGACTCACTAAAAATTTAATATGAAAAATGAAATCATGCAGTCCTAAAATCAAGTTTGGATTTGTGGTTAAGTATAAAGTTCTATTTATTTGTATATATTGTGCCATTAATATTCTCCATTTCTGCTTCTTGCAACACGTGTGTCACGTCTCCTCTGTGGAAGACAAGTCCTAGGCTTTTATTCCAGCACAATGGAGGGAGAAATCTGTTCACCCTGCCAGCTTTTGGCTTTTGCTGTTAGATATTCCAGCAGACAGTGAGCAACACCAGATGTGATTTCTACAGAGTGTGCTCTGGACCGAACATAATCTGGGGATGGAGGCCAGGAGACCTCAACTTCTACTTAGAAACTAGAAGTGCTAATATAAACCCATTGGTAATTAAATCTGTTACAGAAGCATTGCATTTTCATACCGCGTCTTTTTGTTGTTATAATTTTAAATTCTCACTTGAAGAAGGATTTGCTTGCCTTTGACTTTGCCTGGTCTGTGATCCTTCCGCAGAGCTCAAGCAGAGGTAAACAGCGAGCTTTTAGACCCCTGAAATGCAACAGGGTTTCTCTTCCCTGCAGATGCTTCAGTCATACGGTTGCTATGTTACAGCAGAGCCAGCGAGGTGGGCGTGTTTTCCAGGAAAATTAGTCTGCAGCTGTTTTCATTTTTCCTGACTCACAGCACCAGGATTTCTTGGGAAGGTAAGAGCCAGCTTTGCAGATGCTGGGACCAAATCCCACTCCCAGCTCTGAAACACACCCACCCCCATCCCAGACTTAAACATTGCCTTCCCTCCCCATTCCCCTTCTCCCGTTACTTAGGAGGCCCATCCACTTTAGGAGCTTAAACCTCAAGCTTCAAGTGTGAGGGGTGGGTACTTGTGAGTGATTTCTGTGCCATTGGAAGTTTATCGGGCTACAAGAATCATTGAAGCATCTAATAGCCTCAAGCAAGCCCCTCTTCTTGTCTGTCTGTCTGTCTGTCTGTCTTAAACCTTCTTTTTCTCTACTTCCTTAAATCTTTCACCCACTTCTTCCAACTCCAATTCCTTTCAGTCAATTAAGTTAATCTGTTTTTTGTAAAATTGTGCCTTGGAAGTTCAGTTTTAATGAACTTAGATCTGCTTGGATCTCTTAAGTTCCCCCTCCCCCCCCCAAAAAAAAAAAACCTCAGGAAAACTGACCGGTTTTGTAAATCTCTAGGTACTGAAAATCAAGGGCAGACAATTGAAAGCTGAAATTACCCTGTTTTTGGTTTATGAGCTTTTTGGTTTATGGAAAGCTCCCCTTTCCAACTTTCCTCCATGGTTAGCGTCTAGTTCCCATCAGCCAACTGCAGGGGGAGTGGCCAGCTGTTTCTTCACACTCCCGCCTCCTTCTCTGCAGTTGCTCTGCCCAGAGGGTCCACCGCAGAGCAGATCCTGCGCCACTCAGTGAGAAGCCCTCGGTCTTCCACGTCCATCACCAGCAATAACAACAGGTTCTGGACTTGGAGCTTGGTCCCACCTGGGGAAACCTTAGAGACACTTTCTCAATTTTTTTTTCCTCCTGAGAGGCAAGAACGAAGCCTTTCCACAGTTGACTGTTTATATGAGAAAGGGTGAAGGGGACAGGGAAATCCCTCCGCGAGGGGAAATTTACTCTGAGGTTAGATTCAGGAAACAAAGGATATTTGTTTTGTTTTTCCTTACAGGTGACCGTGGTCTGCCTCTCTCCTCTCAGCCTCCTGCAGTGACCACTGACAGCCTGAGACCGCTGCTGCCACAAGTGTATCTTTCAGCTCTTGCTGCTCCCGGTGAGTCTCCGGCTATAAGCTTCCTATTGCCGTTATTAGACATTTTTTTCCTCTGGCCTCAGGCCTTTCCTATGGCATTTAGTCTTATTTAATGGACGGCCCTCCTTCCTCTCATGTTTTCCTAGTTGCTCTGTGTTTTCATACATTCTCATCTGTTGCAATTCTTGCTCTGCTGTCAAGCAGTAAAACATTTTTAACAGCCAGGATTTATTCCACATTTGTTGAAGAATAACATGGAGAATTGAGCCAGAATCATAGCTGCGATTTGTGGGAGTGGGTGTGTGTGATCAGCATGAAGATGTCTCCCTCCCTCTCTCTCTCCCTCTCTCCCTCTCCCTCTCCCTCCCTCCTTCCCTCCGTCTGTGTGTGTGTGTGTGTGTGTGTGTGTGTGTGTGTGTGTGTGTGGCGCGCGCGCGCGCGCGCGCGCGGTGCACGCGGATGAGCGCATGCGCTGCCTATACTAAGCAAATGCTGTGTCACTAAGATACATCATAACTTAAGAGTATTTGAAACTGCTGTTTAGATGAGGATGACTGGCCCAGGAGTAGCACTGTCCTGTGCTTTGGAACCCTTGAGGTAGGGCTGCACCACAAAAAAAGACAAGAGGCCTTATTTGCATGCTTTGTCATTCCCAAGAAAAGTGGGGGTATTTAAATCAAATGCCCCCTTCAGCCAATTCAACAGCATCAGGTTATCAGTTGTCTTGAGCCTGCTGTGTGCTCCAGGCAGCGACACTTCAGCTCCACTGACAGTACCTTTGTTGGTGCCTGCCACTGCAGCTCAGGTCACATTTTATCGCATCAGGGGGAAGGAAAGCTAGGTGATGATCAAGTACAGAATGCTCTCTTGGAAAATTTTGCACCCATCATAAGTGTTACTGGGAAAACAGTGTTTACTTAATGGGTTATATTAGAGTTGAAGGGGAAAGAAAAAGACCACTTGCATCTGCCAGAAGGAGAAAGAGAGGCTACGCGTGCCCTTAATTTAGGCATTTATGTGGTTGTCAAAAGGAGAGGCAGGTCTACAGAGAAACATCTAGAAAGTCTGTCCAGCTACCATAAGCCAGTAGACATCAGAGTCCTGTGTGACAGAAGCTCTGAACTCCACACTGTGGGAGAGCTAATGGGTGCTGGAGTAAATTAATTATCTCATTAAGAAGACAGGTGGGTAGTTCTTTCTCTTTAGCTGGCAGCCTTTTGGAGAGGTTCCTGGCCAGGTGATTGACAAGCCCAACTGTATTGGCTCCTACGATAAGGACAATAGTATATAATGGGTGGCTCTAGCCAGGGCCTTAGGTAGAACTCAGACTTTTTTTTTTTTTGACCTGGAAGAAAAAGTATCTTTCCTTTAATGCCCACCCTACCCAACAAAGCCCTCATACCTCCACATTTTCATATAGTATTTTCAATCCTGAAGTGGGGTCAAGTTCATGTTTCCCTTCCGAATGTTACTAGGAAGTGCAATCCAAAGCCAGGCGAAAGGGAAGAGTTCATCATTCTTGATGGACTTCAGGACCCTTAGACCCTACATAGAAACCAAACCCGGAGACTCAAACAACATACAGACTCTGTGATAGGACAGTCTTGACCATCACAAAGCATGAACTCTTTACATTTTTTGAAACCATAACATATTCTAGCTTTTAAAAAATTATAATATTATAGAAACAAAATTAGGATATCCTACTTTTAAATTGAGGTTATGTCGAGTTTATCATCTACATGTGTGAATTAGGAAAGCTTGGAAAGAAAACTCAGTAATGTATTTGCATCCTGCCCTCTAGGACAGCTCACTTAGAAGGAGTCAGAAGGCAGACAACCCTTGGGTTGCAAAGCTGCTCACACAGGTCTCTGAGTAGTGTGAATGAAATAATAAGCAACAGACCTTTATTGGACAGTAGTATCCATGACAACAGTAGCACCGACACATCATTGACAAAGGCCTTGTAAGGATCTGGTCCTAGTCTAGAAAGCTCATCCATGTGATTAGCACATTTTTATGCTGGTATTATGGTTCTCATCTTAAACAAGATATACTTACTTTAGCCCTCAGAGGAGCTAAACTTGTGGTACCTCTTCAGTAGGTATGAGATGCAGTGTTATCAGTCACACTTTAGAGAAAGTGGAATTCTTATGTAAAGCAGCCTCAGAGATTTCCTATATGTGGACACCTCAGGACTCTCACATCTTCCCACCTGGTTTGCCATTTAAATACAATCCTTATGTTTGACATTTCTATCTCTTTCACACCATACATCCTTCTTTCTAGCTCTCAAATGGTCACTCTGCCTGCATTCAGCCAGAGAGATGTCAGGTGGTGGTATCTGAGTGCTTGACTCTCAGAACCACGTACTATAGAAAACGATGCATCTTTCCACAGAACCACAGCGTCAACATGGTGCGATCTGCCGGCTTACTCAGTAGCGTAAGAGACCCAGGTAAGCATGAGCCAAGACTCGTAGTGCTGGATTCTTCAGAACCTGGGCGGTTCTGTGGGTGGGGCTCTAGCGCATCTTTGGTGAACTACACAACCCTGATGTTTCCCTAGTGGCACTGAAGAGCATTGCTGTGACCCTGTCGGTTCATGACTTTGTGGCTGGTGTGTCTGTAACCCTAAACTATGAGAATGAAGAGAAATCACCCTTGGAGACCTTCTTTGTGTTCCCCATGGATGTAGATTCTGCTGTCTTCAGCTTTGAGGCCTCTGTGGATGGGAAGAAAATTGTGGCAGAGCTGCAGGACAAATATCAGGTCTGACTGATGAGTTTATCCCCTCCCCTTCTTGTTTACATAGGACTTTCTCCTTAGACTTTTACTAAATGCAGCAACTCAAAAAAAATTCAAGTATCGAATGTTTTTTTCCTTCATTTATTTCTAATCTATTTGTCTAAAATTATTTGGGATGCAGATAATTTGTCATCCAGAGTGTCGCTCTTCCAGTGGCAGCACCTGTCAAAATCCCTTGGAAACAGTCTGGGTTTTATGTGCATTCTAGGATTCTGTTCATTGTTCACTGGTGTCACCTTCTTTTTCTCACCCCTCATGCTATTTCCTGTAGATCGACAAAAGGTATGAAGACGCCCTTTCTGGAGGATATCAGCCTTACTTACTGGTGGAAGGCAAGTGTTCCAGGGATGCCTTCCGTTGCAATGTGGGGAACCTGCAGCCGGGATCAAAAGTGTCACTGACCCTGAAATATGTGCAAGAACTTCACTTGGAAGATGATGGGGCCCTGCGTTATGTGCTCCCAGCCAGCCTGAATCCTAGATACCATCTCTCCTCTGGTGAGTACCTTTTTATCTTGGGTACCTGCCTTTGATGGCATAAATTGGGAAAGCACAATACATTTTCAGAGTGCTAGATGTGTGGACAAGAAGCACACAACTGGGGTTCTTTCTGTAGATCGAAGTGAGGACAGTAGCCTGGATATGAAGACTCCGATAGTCCCTTTGGAGGAATTGCCCTGCACACTCAGCATGGTTGCTACCATCAGATCTCAGCTCGGTATCAGTACAATCCAATCCAACTGTCCCTTGAGTCCCATTAAATACAATGGAGATAAAAAGACCGCTGCTCAGGTAAATAGTGCAAGAGTTGCCAGTCCTTTTAGTGCTTTAGCTATTGACCTTGTAGTCCTCATCCATCCTTACTGGATCCTCCTCACTTTCTGAGCTCTTGACTTTCTTACCTATTCTTTCAACAATGACTCTTCCTGCTGCTCATGGAAACCTGCTGTCCTAGATGTGACTTATACCTCCTGAAGCAATCAGTGGGAATTCTAATTCGGCTCCTCTGCTGGTCCCTTCCTCAGGTTTCCTTGGCTGAAGGACACAAGTTTGACCGGGATGTGGAACTCCTGATTTTCTATAGGAAGGTGCACAGCCCCAGTGTAGCTGTGGAGATGGGGATGTCTGGAAAGCCATCAGGTATTTCCTTCCTCACTTGGAAGTTTACTCCCTAAGAGCTCATCTTGCCTTAAAACTATTCTCAAATATTGGCATTTTGATTGTTCTGTTAAGTGATTAGGAAAATTTCAACACTCTGAAATACTGAAAGTCCTCACACTTCTCTAGCCAAACAGTTTAATAATCAGGATGTTTAAGTCCATTAAAAAATAATTGGAAGAAGAATGTGAATAAATAACTTGAAAGATGCAAATTGTATAAACTTGAACCGTAACCAGTTTTGAAAAGATACAACTCAAAATAGTTCTATGACACTTTCCCTTCTCAAAAGTTCAAACCTGTCCAAATATGGCAGCTTTACCTGCCAAGCTATCTCCCAGGCCCTGCAATTAACATCTTAAAAAACAATGAAATGAATCCTCATTACTTTGATTTGTTGAAGAAATTCAAATTCATGGACTGCTTTTGACAAATGCTGGCAAATGCTAACCCTGGGTGTCTCACATGTTTTTTTGAACTTGCAGGAAATGAACATTCATTGACAATGACACCAGGGTCACTGTTACTTTTATACTTTTATATGCTAATCCCCCTTTTCATCTTCATATTCCTTCTACTGTGTCTTTTGAATGTTTATAACTCACCTCCAGCCTTTTGCAAGCAAACTGTTTAAAATAGTTTTTTTTTTTTAAAAAAAAACCAAAACAAAAAACAAAGGACACAAAGAAACAAACCAAACCAAATCACACACATACACCAAAGTAAAACAAAGCAAAATAGGATTTTAGCTTGTGCTTTTCCAGCTCACTGTTCTGGTCACAAGTGATTTGAGGGGATTGGTGGAGGAGGGGTCAGGAAGGAGATGGGTGAGAGAGAAGGAGAGGGAGAGAGAGAGAAAGAGTGAAAAGGATGTGTGTGTGTGTGTGTGTGTGTGTATGAGAGTGAGTGAGAGAGAGAGACAGAGAGAGACAGAGAGAGAGACAGAGAGAGAGAGAGACAGAGAGAGAGAGACAGAAAGAGAGACAGACAGAGACAGAGACAGAGAGAGACAGAGAGAGAGAGACAGACAGAAACAGAGACAGAGAGAGACACAGAGAGAGACACAGAGAGAATGAGAATATGTTTTGGGAAGTGGATGAGTAGATCCAGAGTCTTTCACATGTTAGGCAAATGCTTCAGTTGACCTGTAACCTCAGTACTCTATTTCGTGGGCTGTTTCTTTGAGAAAGGACTTCATTAAATATACAAGCTGGCCTTGGACTCATTGTGTCTTCCAGAGTACTTTTGACTTGTGATTTTTCTTCTTTAGCTACCGAAGTAACGGAAATTTTAAACCTATATCATCAAAGTGTCCTTAGGGACTTTAAGATTCTTGGGATTGTTTTTGTCTTACAAGGTCTTAATCCTTTCCATATAGGTAGTTTAATGGGTGCGCCTTCTGCAATGGTGAGTTTCTACCCAGATATCCCAGGAGTGAAGACCACAACAAATCGTGGAGAATTTGTGTTCCTTGTGGACTGTTCAAAAAGCATGAATAGCCCCATGAATTCCAAGAACAAGTCGCAGCTGAGAATAGACGCTGCCAAGGTAAAAAGAACTCACTGAGGATGAATCTGGGGTTAGGGAGTGGTTAAGTTCAGCTCTGAGATGGAGGTATGTTCCTTGTCTGAGTTTGTGGGGTTTCCTTAGAGTATAAGTGTGACAGCCCACACCCTCCACACTTGTACCAGGCATGGGTGCATGTGTCCGCCCAATCACACTTTCTCACCTCCAGGAAACACTGATTCTGCTACTGAAGAGTTTGCCAGTGGGCTGCTATTTTAACATCTATGGATTTGGAGCCGCCTACGAGGAGTTCTTTCCGTAAGTTTCTAGAAAGAGGGGTCAAGAAGCTATAAGAGGGCTTACATTCAAGATTAGCTAGGTAGGGAGGAATCCTTGCTTTCCAGCTCGACAACCCAAGGTTGATTAATTAAAACTCACATGGTGGAAGGAAAAAAAAAATCAGTTCCCACAAATTGTCTTCTGATCTTTCACAGATCTGCTCTATCACGCACACATACTGTTGTAAAGTCACATAAGCCATATATTTTAAAGGGAGATAATGCATTGTGAAAGAGCAGATGAAAAGCTGATGTGAGCTTGGGGGTAAATTCGGATAGGATTGCATTTAATATGGATTTCTCAGCCCTAGAAACTCCGATGGTGTGCCTTCATGTGACCGAATGTGCTTGTCTGTCTCAGGGACAGTGTGTTGTACAATCAGGAAACCATGCAGATCGCAGTGAAGAAAGTAAAGAAGTTGTTGGCCAATCAAGAAGGGATTGATCTTTTAATACCACTACGGAAAGTTTTGAGGAAACCTTCAATCCCAGGGCATCCCTTACAGGTAAAAATTGGACCAAGGCTAACAGAAGGGGCAGAGAGAATGAAAATTCTCCTTAAGGATGTATGTCCTTGAATGTCACTGAGAGACTGTGAAAACATTGTACTTCAGGCTTCTGCTGTATGGGAGAGAGAGAAATAAAAATAAGAGACATCTGTCTTCTTAACCAAAACAAATGTGTCAATGGCTGAAACACCCAACGGTTTTATGCTGACCCCATGCGAACATTCTAAGCTAAAGAACAACACTGGAGAATAGTGATCTGCCTGTTTAAAGAGGCACCAGAGAATTTGAAGGAAATCGGTTGAATTGTTTCAAGGGTTAAGTTCTATTCTCTTAAAATGAACTTGACAGTGACTTGATGGATATTCTCTCTGTTGTTTGCTTTTGTGCAGGTCTTTGTCTTCACTGATGGAGAAGTTGCTGAAACGTTTAATATTATTAGAGAAGTTAAGTTCCAGAGCAGAAAGCACAGGTACTGGGGAAACAGAGGGTGTTTAACAATGCCAAATTGTACCCAAGCATTGCCTGGTACTAAGCACTTTGAAGACTTACCATGTGATTATTTATTTTCTATGAAAATAAAAGCAATACTCCAAATAATATCAATTCCATAAAAAAACTAATTTACCTTTACCTTTCTTTGAACCTCTTGAGCATATATGTCCCTTGAGGGTTCTGTTCACAACTCTATGACAAGGGACACTGCTCTTTGAAAGCCCAATCTTAGATTTTTTTTTTTACCTATTTATTTATACTTGCTATTTGTTTCAGAAGGTAAATGGATGCCTTCTGAGGTCTTCACCCAGATGTTACTACTATTTTCGTAGAGATATCATTGAGGTGTCTCAGTTTCTTTAATGTTTTCAAATAGTATTTATTAAAAAAATATTTTGTAGAGATTCCAGCATAAATGGGAGAAGGACTCACTCCCATTGAGTGAAGTTTTGGCGAATAAGCAAACTAGGGCAGGGAATCAGTTTGTTTAGAGAAGTGGCCACTAGTAGGATGCCCATGTGCCGGTGGATGTGCTTATAACCAAGTACATGCGGAGATCACTGAGTGGACTCAGTGGGTTATAAAAAGTTGGTAGGGAGGACAGTTGAAATACAGGGTCTAAGAGGATTTGGAGAAGGTTGTAAAGACTGGATATGATTAAAATACATTGTATACATGTTTCTGATGCTTATACAATTGTATTATTTCTAGTATCACAGTAATCCTTTAAATAAATACTGTTACTTTCTCCATCTTGAGGAAGAAATATAAGAGTTAGAGAGGTAACTTGAACTCACCATTTAGTAAGTAAGTAACTGGGTGAGTAAGTGAGACATAGAGGAATTAACTATGTAGCTTAGGTCTAGCACTCAATCTGTCCTCTGCTCATGGAAATGCTAGCTGCCATTTTCTAAGCCTGCAGAAGAAACTAGTGAAGCTCTGCCAATATTTCCTTTTCATTCTTTGAGTTTCCTACATGAACCATGTAAAATACTTGTTTGTTTTACCCGTACTATATTGTCTGTGTACATACTATTCTTCTTGGGAAATGAAATTATGGAAGACAACAACAAAACAAAAACAAAAACAAAAAACTACTACTTGGTGTGCATAGACTTGGACAGAATGAGAACTTTTTCCTTAGAAAAGCAGGGTGCAGGCTCCTCAGCCTGACATGCTCCCTAGCAAGGCAAACACTTATGTTAGGCAGTGTCAGGAAGGTACTGTTGACTCTTCATATCTTTCCTCTTTGATAGAAGAGGACTTACGTATTTAGACAGATCAGTTGGTAAGGAATGAAAATGAAATATGAGATTATCTCAGGAGACTCTGGATAGATAAATTGTGTCACAACTCTGCGACCTTTTATGTATCTTTAAAATAGAACATATTTAAGGAATGGCAGTTATTCTATAATTATACAAGAAAGTACCCCATGATTATATAATTTTTGATAATGATTTGTTAATCTGTTAATTCCATTCCAGTTCCACCTTTAACTTCCATCTTTGTACATTCACAGGTGTTTCTCATTTGGCATTGGAGAAGGGGCCCCCACTAACTTACTGAAGAACATTGCCCTGATATCAGGGGGCACTGCAGAGTTTATCACAGGCAATGACAGGATGCAGTCCAAGGTGAGGATCAACTGTGTATAAAGAAGTTTGTGATACAATTAAAATCTGTGACAGAAAGGGACAGTTCTTCAAGGATAGGAGTCCAGGACAAATTTTTTGATGCCTTCAATGTTTAGTTCATATACTTAATGGTGACTATTCTGGCCTATGGAAAGAGGGTCCACTATAGTATGTGGGGAAATGTCTCTGGCTCTTTTATACATTAGCTCAGAGATGATTTGCCGAGAATTGAGGCTTTTGTGTTGGAACCAGACAGATGAAGAGCTTTGGATGTCACCCTTAAGAATCCACATATGAGCTTCAGGGCCTCTTCTGATATTATATCCCACTGGTACTGCAAAAGATATCAGGCACAAGAGAAGGATCAAGTGTGCTATGTATTAGAAAATCAAAGTGATTTCAAATTGACACAGTTTTATTAATACCTATATATAAGAAGCCATCTTCAGATATGTTTCTAAGTTTCTGATTCACAGTACCGTCTCTACTGAATCTCTTCTCTGTGAATGTCCTCCCCTCAGCATTTCATCCATTCATATTCATGTGTTAAATTTCTCAACTTTGGACTGCAAACGAGTAGTAAGGCTACTTCATCAGACGGAGTGGAAATTAGACATCGTATTAATTAAGACTCATGACCTCTATACACATTATGTCATTAATGGTATCAACCACTGTCGTTTTTCTTGCTTATACTTACTCTGCTTTCTTTTCCTGCAGGCCCTTAGATCCCTGAGGCGTTCTTTACAGTCTGAAGTAGAGAATGTCTCTCTGAGCTGGAACTTGCCTCCCAAGATGTTTGCACCTATGCTGTCAGAAGAACAAACTTCTATCATTAGAGGTCAAAGGTTAATCATCTACAGCCTACTGATTGGAAAGATACCAGTGAGTCCACAGTGTTAGTCTCTCTACTTGGTGCAGGTGCTTCCCTGGCAGATTCATTAAATAAAACAGATGATTTTGAGTTTCCACTGGTTATTGTATTTGGTAACTAGAACTGGCTAAGTACTCATGTTAGTGGCCTGCTGTCCCGAACACATGGTTTCTGGATTGAAACTTGAATATATTAAGCTGGGGGAAAGAACCTGCCATTTATGGCCCACCATCTTCTAAGTGATTCCACGTTTTCTTTCTTTCTTTCACAGAAAGGAGGGGCAACCGGTGAAGTGTGTCTCTCATATAAGCTTCGTGGACAAAGATATGAGGAAAAAGTGACATTTCCTCTACAACCAAAGCGTGATAACAAGTGAGAGTTCTGTATTCTTTCCCCTTCCTTCTTTCCTTAGCCCTGTGGTCTTTGAGGGCCGAATCCCTTTCTTGATGCTGAACCCAGTTGTGTCCCTACAATCAAGTTTTGTCTTTCGCTCACTCACGTATCACCATCCCCCCTTTTCTCCTACATCTCCTTCTTCTGTGATATGTAACTTTTATAGGCTCCAGGTAAAAGGCATGTAGGTTTTCTTCTTACTTCCAGAAAGTTTTTCTCTTTCAGTCTCACCATTCATCGTCTGGCTGCGAAGTCCATGATCCAGTCCAAAGACTTTGGCTACAAGGGGACTTCAACAATGTTTAAAAAAGATGTGTTGGAAATCAGCCTAGAGTCTGGAGTCATGAGCTCCTTCACATCATTTGCTGCCATTAACAAGGAACTCAACGAGCCAATCCTGGGGCCCATGTTTCATAGGGACATCCCAAGGCCAATTCTCTTGGGTCCAGGTCCTGGAATGCCCTCTGATGGTAAGTTTCATTCCATAAATACTTTTATGAGTAAAGAGTTTTGACTACGTCAGAATGCTATATAAAGAAAAATTTTAAAATGTTCTCACATTCTTTTTTTTTCCCCTTGTCCTTCTACATACAGGATTTATAACTAGTCTTAAACTTCCCTCTTCCAAGGAGATTTTATCTATCTATCTATCTATCTATCTATCTATCTATCTATCTATCTATCTATCTTATCTATCACCTATCTATCTATCTATCTATCTATCATCTATCTATCTATCTATCTATCTATCTATCTATCTATCTATCTAATCAATTGAGAAAGAGACTTGAAACCAAGTGCTGAGAAAAGAAACATGGAGCGATTTAAGCATCAAAAATACAAATAAGTCTTGAATGAGGTTCAAAGTTGAAGATAATTTGTGGCTTAGATGTTTAGAATGTGAACAACACAGTGATGACCAATGGCTGAAACAATCACTAATTGTTAGTTTAGTCACTAAAACTAATGACTGAGACATGAAGAAGAAAAGGCCTCTTCTGTAGTCTAAACTATAGCAAGAGATCCAATATAATAGTCTCTAAGTTAAAACAAGTTAAAACACTACAAATACTGTGTATGTGAGTAGTGTCTCTGTGTGTGTGTCTCTCTCTCTGTGCATGCCAATTAAATTCTAAAAAGTAGAATACTGCCGAATGATGACAAGATTCTCATGAGTTAGGAGATTGGTGCTGAAGAAGTAGAATGGGGCAAAGTCCTTGGATTTGAAGACATCAGATCCACTTGTGTTAAGATATTGCATTTGCTACCCACCTGGGTAGCAGAATTTTCAAGTTGATGGCAGAGGTTGAAATGCAGTTGACGTCAGTTGCCCGTTTCAGATAGTTCAGTGGATCATAGGAAGTAACAAAGAAGGCTGACACCAATTCTCAGTCCTTATTCTTATAGACATTTTGGGAGTGATGGCAAGTTTAGGGAAGGAGAAAATTTTACTTCAATTTAATACATGGTTGAAAGGATCTCCTTGGGATGAATCAAAAGATGGATGAAAGATTATTTCCTGTGTTTTGGGGGCTTCAGAGGAAGGAAGGTAGAAAGAGTGGTTCAGAGTACACTAGAAGGCAAGTACGTCAGGGAAGAATAGGACATATAGGTGACAACTAAAGCTAAGGAAGACGGAAGGGAGCCCTTGGGTCTCAAATCATCAGACTTCATTGTCCTTTTCAGCTTTGTAGAACATGGACATCTCAGAGTGAATGTCTGCACTGATGTCTTTCAGATTATCCCCCAAATTTATTCTGTGCCAGTGCTCCTGCGACTCTGCCTCCATGGTTGATGGGCAGAGGACAATGTGCTCCTATGATGTCCATGCCAAATGGTGAGGATCCTTTAAGTTCAATACATCATAGTGGCCGCTACAATCTCAGAGTATGTTTGTCTAATCAAGGTTTGTCTCTCACACATCCGACTAGGCACACCTCATGAGCCACAGAAAAGCCAGAAGAAACATGTGACTAATACAGATGCTTGCCCTGAGTTGCCCCATTTGGCTAAATATGACAGTGACCCACAAGGTGAGACAGACCTTAGACTGTATTTTTCTGATCTATGGGGATTGAAGAAACTAGTCCTCCAAATCTCCCTACCAAGGAACATATATCAAAAGCATTTTATAGCAGGTGAGATTTTTTTCCACGATGTGTACTTACCATGATCAGCCCAACTCCACTGAACTGCAAGTTAGGATCTGTCAACTTCCTCTAATGGATTCTTGGCTGTCTCTCAGACTAACAAACTTCTGTTTGCCATCTCTTCCTACATAACTCCCCTGTAGGCAGGGCCTGCAGAACTGAGGTACCATCTTATTTGTCTCATTCTACCCTGGCCATCTCTTTACACATTGGGCCTAATGATACAGCTTGAGGATGTCTGAAGGCTTTCTTTCTACAGCCCTCTTGCTATTGTATGGCTCTGACTTCAGAAGGCCACTCAGGTAGGCAAAGGAAACAGTAGCTACATAATTTCTACACACTTCATCTTTTCTTCTCAAAGGGAGTAAGGAGCTTAGCATTGTACAGCTGATATATCTCCAGAATGCAGATGGCTCCTGGGATATGAACGAGGACTTAGCTAAGATTCTAGGTACTACTTTGGAAGACATGACGGCTGCACACCCTATTGAGGTAAGATCCAAAAAAGAAAAAAAAATCAAAGAAATGAGTGTTTTTTTATGTAATACTGTTAGTAGTGAAAGTTTTTTTATGAATCCAAGTCTACTTAGGGGAATAAGAGGGTGATATTGCCCAGATTAATGTCTAATAAACAGAGATTAATAATTTTTGTGAGTATAATAAAACTGTAAGAAGAAGAACAAGAGTGATATTCATATGAAGTTCATTCCAAGGGTATTAAATAACAAAAGAAAATCTAAAGCCCTCTGCTATGTCATTTATAGTCTCTGCTAGTTTCTTCATTGTAAAAGTGAAAATTAGCTAGGTAAGCACTTCGCATACATCCTGTGAGTTGTCTCTAAAATTGGGTAAGTAGGGAAGGTGGCTTTCTTTTGTGTTTCCACTTATAGATTTAGAAAATGAATGTTGCGAAGTTTGTCTGCCTGGGATGGGTGGAGCTGTATTCAGTGCTAGGTCTGTGTCTTAAGAACCCCAGATAATAGTCCCATTATTGCTTCACCTTAGATCAACTTTAGACCACGTTAGTTGAAATCACAGTTATTTCAAATTATTTCAAATAAATAAATAAATAAATGAAAATAAATATAAATAATAAAAAAAATAAAAATGAAAAACATTTTAAATAAATACATAATAAAAATAAATAAATTAATTAAGAAATTATTTCAGATAAATAAAATTAAAAAGTTAGTTGAAATCACAATTATTTCAAATGTGTTGACTTATGGGGACACGGCTAGATTATAATTCAGATTGTAAGAGAACTTGGCAATTCATCGAATTGGTGGGAAATTCTTGAAATATATGATAAATTGCATAATTATGAAGAGAAATTATTTTTAAATAACACACAGCTATTTCAAAGAGTCAGCATGAAAATACATTACAGAATCTATTTGGTTTGGATTAAATTTGTAGCATATGGAGTTACATAAAATACATGAGAATCTAAGAGTACATATTTACAGCTATACAAGTATATACAGCTATAATGTATAACTGAAGATACAGTCCATGGGTATATACTGCTCATGATGGGCAAGTACAAGTCTCACAATGTGAAGCCCTTGAGACAACAACAAAATGCTAAAATAATTGTGCTGTTTATTTTTCTCTCTTAAAACGTGAGTATTTGATGATTTTAAAGGACACGCGTCTAGCGCTGTATTTTTATATTTTAAAAAATGCTATTTTAGAACAAAGAAAAGGGTAGTTGATAAAAATTGCAAAGAAGATATAGGGATAAGAAATTATTTTTTTTTTAGCAGAGAGTGATTGAGAGCAACACATGTGAGATGCATATCCCTTCTTTACCATGGCAAGCAGTTTAACAGAATAAAGTAATCAAGAGAGCTGGTGTAGAAGATTTCAGTAAAGGATTTTATTGGAAAAAAGAAGAGGTATCTGGACCAAGTATAAACTAGTTGGAAATATGTAGCACTAAATAGTGAATGTTTTTAAAGCTGCAATATTTTTTAAGTATTTAAATCTTTTATTTGAATGTTTCTTAAATCCTCCAAGTTCTGCATCTTATTGTCGGTCAGTGTTTCCAATGAAGACCCAGATGTTCTTATTGGTGTGTGACAGAACTGAGGGATAGTTTACGCAATAGAATCCTGATCCAAAATAATAGAAAAGTGGGTCTGGGTTCTGAAGGCATCAGATGAGAGAACTGGGATTTAATTTCGTAAAATGACCATAAGCTATATTATAAATAAAAGCATGCATGACTATTCTCACCTATACAAGCAGAGAGAAGAGATACAATGTCATAACAGAAGTTCCTTGTGAAACCAGACATTTCAAATGGCTGACACACAGCCAAAAAGCAGATGTTCTGATGATTGGTCAGGGCAGCAGGCTGACTTCTAAAGCCAAAGGCTTTGGTTGTGATCACTGAATTTCACAAATACACTTAATTCCACAAGTGACTGTTTCAGGGTATGTTTTAAAAATGGCTGTGATCCTTTAGAGAAGGAGGACATTCCTGGTGTTCTTAGTTTTTTTACATGAACAGTTTTCTTAGGGATGAAGTACAGGTTCTGAAATAGCCTCATTCAAAGAGGACAAGATAGCTGATAGTCATCTTTCTAAAGCATGAATATTCATGGATCTGCTGAGTCTAAAAGCTGAAACCTTAAGAAACAATGAGTGAAAACTCATGGATGATATTATTTTCCTGAAGTTTTCAATTCAACAATGTGATTAGTAAGAATTTATTTGGTCTTCTGTCTCATGTCTGTCATTAACTCTAGGATAACACTGGGGAAAACATTTTATGTTTCTATGACTTTTTTTTTCTTGTAACTATTGAGTTGGAATTGTTTTGTTTACCCCTTCCAGATCAGAATTAGGAAAGATGATTCATATAACAATAATATTTTGAAAAGGCAGCTATTTATGTATGTTCTTCTCTGAGCATTGTGGGACCATCTTCTTAGAGTTGTTTGATTAGTTCCCATTGCTGACCTAGAGGTTATACTAGACTTAAAGCTCAAGACTTTTCTGTTTTAAGACTCAGTGGATTGTTAACCTGATAATCAGGAAAAGCACCTCACATGATTATGTGCATGGTGGGAACAGACAAGAAATAAACTGCCTGCAGCAGCAGTTTGGGGAATACAGAACACATGAAGTATTGTATGTTTTCTCTTGAGGGACTTCTTGCTTGACCCTGGACATGAGAGAATTCTCTGTTTGTGCAGGAATTACAACCCTCAGCTTGGGCTACAATGCTGGCTGTGTTCTGGCTGCATGCCAATGGTGAGGACTTGCAGGATGAGTGGGAGCTTCTGGAAAGAAAAGCTGTGGTCTGGCTTTACAATTCAGGTAGGGACACAAACAGTCCCCAGCCCCCTTTCTTCTCCTTTAGGAAAGCAGATGCTGTGACTCCAGGCCTAACAGGGAATAAACACTGGATAGTCCCGGAATTCACTTCCCTCATGCTAATTTGGAGCGTTTCTGCTCCCTTAGTTCATCTTTCTGTTGGCAGAATATGGTTGAAATTTGTAACTGGGGGGTGGAAAGAGGTGAATAAAGGTGAAAAGGGGAAAGATGGGGAAGTGATGAGTGGCAAGGACACAGTGTAGTAGTGACTGCCCTCTGATACCCAGTACTGAGGTGAGTCTCAATAGTTCTGGATGCTCTGTGGGCATTCATTGACTCCCTATTGATGAGTAGGTTAAAGGCTAATTGGAGCACATGGTAAAGAAAAGCCAGGAGTACTGAGGAACAGAATGAAATGAGGGTAGACGACTTGAGAGGAAGAGAGAGGTCAAGGAACGAGCTTTCTCCCCATCTGTTAACCCACAGCCCTAACTCTTGTTTCTCTTCCCCACAGCCAGTGGTTTGAGAAAGCACATCCATACTGTCAACAAGTTCTTGAAGATGTCTTTGGGTCCCTCCGTCTTAAGGTTATGAGAATAATGCCCAAGGAGAAGGGCATTCTTTTCTGCTTCCTGCCACATCCTTCCCCTCGTCTGCTAAGATAGATTTTTGTCTTGGGTACCTTATCACTCGTATCTTACTATAAAAGTGAAGGATGCATACATTACTTTGGCTGTCTGTTATAGGTCGAACTGGATATAAATTTGGGTGTCTGTGTGTCCCCTGTGACAAGTGCTGGTAGACATAGAAACTGTTTCTTATCTATCTTGGAGTTGTATAGAACATTTGCATGTAGTGATGTTTCTCCTAACAGAGCTGCTGGAGAATTCCTGTGCCAAATCATTATCCTCGTTATCCATTTGGTACTCACCTTTCATTTTATATACTTGTCATTATATACATTATATCCTCACATACAATTTGAGCATTTCCATTCTTGGAAGAAGTTGGATGTAAACTGAAAGCCAACTTCAAGGTCAACGTGACTTCAAGATCACAGAGAGTCAAATTTTCCATTTTGCTCATTGTTACTGTTGGGAACATTCTTGATGCACCCTTGTGGCCATTGTCAGTCTATGCTTCACACCTTGCTTTCTCCCGAGATGAGTCATACTTGTAAATAGATGTCTATCTTTAACCATTTAATCATTCTGCAGGAGGTTGATAATGAAACCTTTAGGCCTAGCTTTAATCCACTAAGCCTGTGAGTTTAGTTATGGCCTGGTTTACACAGAATTAATGTAGATTGTGCTGAGACCTGAGTATGTTTTGTTTTTCAACCCATAAAGAATGGGGTTACGTGGTTACTCTGACACTTGTTTTTCACATACCCTATCATATTAAAAGACCCATTCCCCCAGATTGCTGTTTTACCAGTATTAAAGTGGCTATTTCTTCTATGATTATGTGTTGGTCTTTTGTCGATTGATTCGATGAGCATTAGTTAAGTTTTATTATCCCATTTTCATCCCCAAGATTTTGGGTGTGGCCATTGTTCACACTGTCTTTATTAATGCAACACTGGAGGTGGGACACGGTTTATGCCTTCAAGCCAGATTTGACCACCTATCTCCAGTATGCCAATTTAAAAAGCTAAATTAATGGTACAAAATAGAATAAAAAAATTATTCAATATAGTTATTCTAGGATGAGGAACAAAGAGTCCCAGGGCATCTCTAGGTTCAGCTAGCCCAAGACTTCCCCAATCTGATTTTTTTAAGTCCATCATCTTAAGAGTCCTGAAGAGGGATTAAAATTGAAATAAAGGGCCAAGTAGATATCTATCTATCTATCTATCTATCTATCTATCTATCTATCTATCATATATATATATATTTTTTTATATATCCCTTAACATACAGCTAAATGGTTAGATGATGATGGGTGAATTACTCTTTAGGTGATAAATATCTCACGTCTGAAGCTGAAGCATTAGACCAGAACTCTACAGCACTTAAAGCTTTCAGAGTCCTGGTGTGACATGAACTTGAGACCTCTGGAAGAGCAGCATACACTCTTAACCACTGAGACATCTCTCCAGGCCTTAGATTTGAAGAATGGAAGGATAGACAGTTGATGTAACATTTCCTCACTTGGGAACCCAAGCAGACAAAATTTCCTATATCATGGAATCTAATTTTTTTTTTAGAACTTTCTTCTAATGTGTGCTCTTATGACTGAATGTGACTGCGAAACAGAGATATTGCAAACTCTGGGTGTTTTGGATGGTTTCGAAATATACATCTTTAGGCAACAGCAAAAACAACTAGAGGAGGCAGACATTTTAAAGAAGACTACCAGATAATCTGTCCACATTAAATTCTGAGAGAAGCCTACTAGTTTTATGACATTTCATGTATCATGTCTCCCATTTATACAGCACATGTATATTCAGAACCTGAAAGAGCTGGTTGCCTAAGGGACAAAAGAATTACAGAATGATGCTCTACAGAGAACTGATGTGCCTTTTTCCTCACCTCTCAATTTCTAGGCTATTCAAGAGCTTGGGGAGTTGATGCATGGCCTCCTAATGGAAAGCAATAAAACAAAACCGTCACACTTTGTTTTCTCCTTTGACTTGGAGAATCACTGACCGATATCAAGCAGCAGGTTTCCATTATTATTATTATTATTATTATTATTATTATTATTATTCCTTCTTGAGTTTCCATGGGAGAAAATGTTGCATCCACTGTACCTTCTTCAGATTTATGAACTGGAGAGATGATTGAGTCATTTCAAAGTGTGCTGGCTTTTCAGAGCACACAGCTTCAGTTTCCAGTACCCAAGTCCCTCAATCTTCAGGGCATTAAGAACCCTCTTTTAATCTTTATGGGTCACTGCACTTTTGTGCACATATCCTCAACAGACACACTGACATAAATATATGTATGTGTGGTGGTGTGTGCCTTTTAACCCTAGAATTCAGGAAGCAGAGGCAGGCGTATCTCTGTGAGTTTTAGGCTGTCCTGGTCTACATAGTAAATTTCAAGACATCTCGGGCTATGTAGTGAGACTCTGTCTCAAAAGAAGCCAATGGACCAACAAGCCAACCAAGCAGACACACTTTAAATCTAATCAAGTGTGTATTTTCACAATTAAGTACTGTTTTCTGGAGCAGGAAAGATGGCCCAAGTGGTCTAGAACACGTGCTGTGATTACGGAGGACCAGAGTTCAGCCCCCAGGACTCATGTCAGGTGTGTCACAACTGCCTGTAACTCCAGGTCCAAGAGATCTAACACTCTCTTCAGACATCCACTGCACTCACATTCACACACCCTCACTGACACACACATACACAAAATTAAATACAAAAAATAAATCTCTAAGACAAGTTTTATTTTTGACCATTTCATGAAATATCCTTTCATGGATGACATTTTTTTTATGTTTCCTGAGCACTAAAGAACCATGGATGCCTTCAGAGGAGTCCTTCTAATTTCTTACCTGTCGCCTTTACCCTGGATTTGTTTCCTGTCTGCTTACAAAGCTGCTGACAAGAAAAAGGCAAACCCATCATCACCTCAAGATTTTACCACTAAAACTAAGTGCAGGGTGCAAAGCCCTGGTCCACATAGAATTCTTTTTTATCTCTATCTATTCATAGTCTATGTCTTCAGACTCAAGTCTCCTTCCTTTCTTGAGTTTATATTTCTTTCCTTCTCACCATCTCCATCTCATGTGCTTCGTTTTCAATCCTAGGCAACTACCTAGGACTCTTCAGTCACTCTTTTGTCAGTACTAATGCCATGACAACCTCTTGTCACATTCTGGATGAAGACATGTTCTACTCATGACCATTCGAGACATATTGGAAAACTATACTCTCATCAAAGTCAAGATTTTATCAGTTCCAGAACACCCTATAATCATTTTCACCCAGGCCACAGAGGAGATCATTTCTCCTGGTAGCTCCAGAGAAGACACATGACTGGTGACACCCTTCATCATTTGCATGGAAGACCTCGACATGATCACCCTTGCTGTGCTTTATTATTTACTCATTTATTTGCTTGTTATCTTCTCTATGAGTAAAACACTTTGAGCTGACAATGAGAAAATGACGTCATACACACAGTGGCACTAGGAGAGCAGCACTAATGAACGGAGGCTAAGAGTTCCAAAATTAAATTGGGGGCAGATAGTGCATTATTGTAGAGATATAGATAAGGGTGTGGCAAGCGACTCCTGACTCTGGTTGCTAGAAAAGTTCTAAGGAACTGTGAGGCCCTAAGTGCTGAAAATTCTATCACCCACTTCCCAAGTACTGTTTCGGTCATTATTAGGAGAGAGTGTCCTAAGCACCAAGGTCTTCTGTGGGGAAGCGCTGGGGATAACACTAGCTGTTACTTGTAGGACTAGTGGTGACTCAGGCACAGAAGTAAGTCTATTAGAGTGATCAAAGATTTTCCCAGATCCTGTGTCACCAAACTATACAATTCTGTTCTTAGTAACAAATATCTGTAAGTCTATGGACCTTTAGCAATCAAGGTCTTGGAGATCAACACTGTGGATATCAGGTTTGTGTTTTGGTGATTTCTATCTTCTAAAAGCACCCACACAGCTGACCAAACTCTCTAGTAAACATATGCTGTGTCATCCTAACAAAATAATTATATAGCTGGATAGTGGTCACATATGCCTTTAATCCGAGCACTTGGGAGGAAGAGGCAGGTGTATCTCTCTGACTCTGAGGGCAGCTTGGTTTACAGAGTGAGTTCCAGGACAGCAAAGGCTATACAGAGAGATTGTATTCTTAACACAGACACACACACACACACACACACACACACACACACACACACACACAATGAGGAAGTATATATCTATGTGATCATTCTATTTCTGTATTTCTATTAAAATCTAAAATCCTGAGCATATACACACACACACACGTACACACACAGACACACACATACACACAAATACATGCACACACACACACACACACACACATGCATATACATACACACACAATGAGGAAGTATATATTAAAGTGATCCTTCTATTTCTTTATTTCTACTAAAAAGAAAATAAAGCTTAAAAATTTATTGAGACTAGATAGTTGGCTCAGCAGATCCATAAGCTCTTCCAGAGGAGCTATGTTCAATTCTTAGCATGTGGTGTTCACAACTGTATGTAAATACAGTACTAGGATATCTGATATCCTCTGGCTTCCTCATGTACAAGATATATACATGGTAGACAGACATACTTGCAAGCAGACAGACATACATACAAGCACAATACCAATACACATAAAATAATAAAATAAAAATAAATACATTATTAACACAAAAGTTTAAATGTACCAGAGAAGTTGAGCCTGATGGCAGTGTCTGTTATGGTGTTTTAAATGTAAATAGCCCCAGTGGTTCATATGTTTAAATACTTGGTCCCCAGTTGGTGGAACTGTTTGGGAAGGGTCAGGATGTGTGACTTTGTTGAAGGAGATATGCCACTAGGGTTGGTCTTTACACAAGGCTCATGATGTTCCTAGTGTGCTCGATGCCTCCTGATTGGAGATGTGAGATCTCAGCTTCTCCTGCCATCATGCTTCCATCAGCCATCAGACTCTAACACTCTGAAACTCTAAGCCCAACTAAACAGTTATTTTTATACTTTATGCCTTAGTTTTAATGTTTTATCACAGCAATAGAAAAGTAAGTAAGACACCTGTAATTCCATGAGTTCTGCACCTAAGTTAAGAAGATAGCAAATCCATGGACCACCAAGATACCCAGTCAGACTCTCTTCAAAACAGTAATTAAAGGAAGTATTCCCATGTGAAGAGTTGAGTGCAGGAGTAAAACACACTACCTGGATGAGAAACTTAGTTCTGCACAGTAAGACATTCATGTTCGACCAAAAGACTAAACCTTCTTTGTACGTTTCCCTTTAATGAGTTCAATGATGTACCATCAAAACTCTAGAATTTGGTATTCATTCTATGAAAAAATAGTTTCCCTTGGATTATTTATTTATACTGAGACAAAGAAAGGATTTAGGTTTACCTATTAAATAATCTTCTTAGAAAAAAATCATTTATCTGGATGGAATGGTTTTCTGTGCTTAGTGTTGTTTTAATTCTTTCTCAAGACAATTCAGGCTTTTCTGATAAGGGAGCTAAGTGCTATTTTGTAACTAATTTTCAAAAAATAAGTGACACATGTTTTCTTGTATGTAAATATAGATGCCCTGTGGCCTCTTTGGTTAAATAATTATTTCACAATGAGCTGAAGTTATACTGTCAAATATAATTGACTAAAAGTACTTCCTAAATTAATGTTAACTAAATTCAAAATTAACAGTTCTCATTTCCTAGAAACTGCAAAAGAATGTTTTCTTTCGTTATGAACAAAGGTTGAATTAATTAGAGATATTTGGTATATTACATAC